CCTCCATCCTTCACACTTTGAGTACACTGCATGAATGTCTGTGGCCTTCCCAACGCCTCCACAGCAATGTCCACTCCCATTCCTTCTGTTATTTCCTGCTCAATAACACCTCAGTTACTTACATTCGTTGCAGCAAACCAAATATGCAACAACAAATAATGTCCCTCCATATGCAAAAATTAAAAATTAAAAATAAAAACTGCTTTGAGTAGTTTGGTTGCAAGCATGCTCGTCCAGGGAGTGCTTGTCTATGGCTGCATGCCCAAACCATCCTCAACTATCATACTTTAATGCCATATTTAGTTTTGATGTTCAGTTTCTTTTATATCAGCTCTTAGATCTTGCATTTTGAGAAGGCTTTTTTTAGCTTTTTTGTGGGAGGAGAATGGAAAAGCTCTTCTGTCTCCCCTTCAAGGTACATCTTTTGGTAATGTTTAGTTAAAGTTGGTTTCCTTCTTCAATTAGTACTGCTCGGAAGCATGGATTCAAAAAGTTGTATTGGAAATAAGTTTTTCTCCCCTATACCGAGAGGCACCTGTGCCCATCCCAAAGCCCGGACCTGGGAGATATCAAGAATTTTTTGTATTAAGCTCACCAGAAGATTCTAACTTGAGATTTCTAGAGACTCCAAGCCTTTGCCGACTAGGCTGTCCCTTGAGGGCAAATCACACATTTTCTATAAAACTATTTTCTACAAAAACGTGAGGGGAGGCTAGACCTGTGACTGATATCGTTCACGGCTTTCAATTTTCTTTTGGTTGACTTGTTAAATTGTGCTAAGGTAAGTGTCATACAATCGCCTGACCCATTCCAAAGAAGTGGAATTGTGACACAAGGCATCCAAATGTCCAATGTTTTGATATATGATGCATGGTAATTTTATGAACAAGAGACTTTTGTTTTAGAAAAGAAGTACAAGGGAGACAAGAAGTTCCCTATAACCAATGGAGGTCACACAAAACCCATGATAAAATGTATGACTTGAGAAATTAGGGCCTCAAACCCACTTTAGGAGATGGTGGATATGCATTTACACCATGTTAAACCCAATTGGAAGTAGACTGTGTTAACAATTCCGAATCCTTAATTTAGAAAAGTATTAACCCCCTAACCACAAGGATCACAGGATTTTGCGGGTCTTGGCAACACTCCCCCCCAAAGACCAATAGAATGTCCAAGACCTCCACAAACCTTACTCCAATTCTTCCATCTACAATCATATGAAATCATCTCTCATAATTTGAATTCGTCTCTAGTGCAACTTCACACACACTTACTACTGCACAATGCCTTAAAGAAACAATTTTACCCTCAAATTACTAGCTTCCCCAACATCCCAGCTGATCTCAGATTAACCGGAATTCCCTAATATCAAAATGTAGTTGATGGCAAAAAAGAATGCAAAATGAACTCTACTCCAAATGCATTTCTCAAGTCTTTGTTGTTTCCTTCAAATGTTGTTCTACTCCTCTCTTCCCAAAAGTCCCACAAGGTCATCACCACCACGGTAATCAACATAATCTGAACTTTTCTATCTAATCTTGGTCCTCTAGCAATCCGTATGCTGATGACACATTTGAAGATAAGTCCTACATTGTGATTTTTTTTTTTTTTTTGTTTTGTAGGAATGTTCAGCACACCTCTTCGGGGTGGTGTCTCATTGGAAAGCTCTCTTTTAGTTGCTCTTGGGTGGGGTCAGGATAACTTGTCCGACAATAAACTAATTAGATTCCTAAAGGATGAAGTACATACTCTTATCTTTTCAATAGCATCTTCTTTACGAGCATTAATGGTATGAGTAGCACCAAATGTCTTCGCTTTTAGTAGTTTATCATCCTGAACATCAACGGCAATAATATGAGAAGCACCAAATGCCCTTGCTATCTGCAGACAACTGGAGAAATATAATGTTACAAAAAAAACGTTACACCAAATTGGAAAATTGTGAAGATTTTCAGGCTAAATGACCTTCTAAGAAGTTGTTGTTTAAATGCCATATCTTTAAAATTTAGGATAGGAATGCTTTGATTTTCACCAAAATGCCCATCATTCAATTTTCTTTTTCCTTTTCTAGTTTTGCATTCTTTTCTCTCTTTTTTTTTTCTCCCTATATTGTCTATATATTGTGTTGAATTGTTGATCATTCTCAAGCTACTAATTTTTTTCTTCTTTTTGTAAATATTTATTTGAAAGATATATTCAACAAAAAACTAAGATATTTACTATAGAATCACATTTCTCAAATATTTGAAAATGTTATAGATTTCTTATTTTTTGAGACGTGCCCATAGAAGAAGCAACTTAAAATAATAATAATAATAATAATAAAAGCTAAAAAAGGAACCATTTTATGGATAAATATATTTAGAGTTCTCTACAATTTCCTTATTTGATGGATACTATCATTTGAAAAAAGATTAACAAAAAGAACTACAAACAGTAATGTTTCCAAGACCAGTCTGGAAAAAACAAGATTTCTTTTGTTTCTTTTTAATTTTTCTTTTAACAAGAAATTAACTCTTTAGTGATACAATGAAAAGATACAAAAAATTGTTCAAGGAAACAAACTCCAAAATGTGTAAAATAATAAAGTTAAATATATCCCAATCATAACATATATCAGAAATAGAATGGTTGTCAAAGAATTTAGAGAAGGAACACTAATGAGAGGCCTTAAACTTGGATAATTCATAATGCTTGTTCCACACTCAAACCATATTTCAGAGATGATTGCTTTGCTAGCATTAACCCAAAGCAACAGAACCAATGGATATAGAATCAGACCATTGAGAAATTGAGAAATGTTTATATCATAATCATTGGAAAAAAACCCACTGCATATTAAATTGCTTGTTGAAGCAAGAGGCGCCAACAATTCAATGAATAAACACATCTGAAAAATAAATGGATTTGAACTTCAATGTCTCTATAGCAAAGAACACAAACAGAAGGCAGAAAATGACACGAGAGCTTTGAAGGACTTCTGCAGTATTCACCCCTTTGTTTAGCAAGATCCACATAAGAAAATATTCACCCTTTTGAGACTTTCAGATTTCCATACAGCAGAATATAAATTCTTAGACATGGGCGAAGAAGATGAGAAATAATTAACCATTGAGTTGATAGAGAATAATCCCGATGGTGCTATCTGCCCATACTTCAAATCTTCTCTTGAAGATAAGCTGAAATCATATAAGACCAGCAAGAGAACAGATTTCTCAAATCAACAAGGGAATATTTGACTTCAATGATGTCTTTCTACAAAGCATCTAAAAAGTGCCATATCCACTTTGTGAAGACAGCCTTATTTCTGTCTCTAATTTTCCCATTATTAGTAGAGGAGGATATGGTTTTCCAATTTACAATGTCAGCCTTCCTCAGAATATCATCCATCTGCTGAGCCTAGAGGATATTTTCTATATCATAGGGTCACAGGCTCCCAAAAGCCAATGGACCTTGGGTTTCCTCATAAGGGTGACCAAGGTAAGATATGGGGAGAGTTTGAATAAGGAAAACTCTATAGTTTGTCAAAATTTTCCTCTGATATTAATGTCAGCCATGGCCAAATAACCAAGGTCAACAGATAAACATTAGGCTGCTTTGAAGGCTTTACCTAGATTGAGTAAATTAACCACTTTTTCTTTGTCCACAACAAAAATAAATTTTTTTTTTTTTAGATAACAAAATGCGCTTTCATGGAGAGAAATGAAAAAATATACAAAAGGCATACAAATAAATAAATAAATAAGAGTCGTCCACAAACTGTAAGCTAGCTACTTCAGCACCATTTTTGTTTAATCTGAAGCCTTCAAATCAGCCCTTCTTCAAGCCGTTTTTCTATTAATCTGCTAAAGTAATCTGCCACAGCACAAAAAGAGAGGGAGAAAAGGGGGTCCCAATCAAATTCCTTTCCTAGCTTAAACTTTTCATCTAAGCTCACCACTAATGATAATAGAATAGGAGACTGATTAGACATGACCCCTCATCCATTTTCTCCAAGTAACATTAAAGCCATTAACCTCATGCATCTTGTCCATGAATGTCCAGCTGGCTTCGTCGAAGGCTTTCAATATCTAGCTTCCAAACCAGATCTTTATCCTTTATGCATGGACATTCATCAACTAGCTCATTCACAATCTAAAATTCCAAATGAGCTCAGTAAACCACAGTAATTAGGCCCAAATCAGTAACCTTACAGGCAGAAGATTGCTTAGGAACTAGGAAGTACAAACACTCTCTGACATACTGTCGGTGTAGGATATGGATACGTCTAGACATGCTTTAGATATGTTCTGATACAAAAAAAAAGTATCCTTTTTTTTCTAATTTCAGCACGGGGACGTGGAGATTATGTGGGCACATTGATCTAAAAAAACATTGATAAGAAAATTGAAAAAGAAAAAATTGCCCCATTACTTAACTTATTATGACTAGTCCTAAAATTTAACCCAATCCTAAAAACCCATCTGAAAGAAGAAAGAAATCGTGAGGGGGAGGTCCATCCTGCCCACTGCCACAAGCACATCTAATTTCTTTTGTGCCAAATTTACGTGTTTTATCTATTTTTCAGTACTAAATATATCAATATATACATATGTTCTTAAAAGAAATGTATTCTCAATAATCTGTATCCTGTGTTCTATTTTTCAGAAATTGATGTATCACCATGTCTATGCTATATCATGTTGTATCCCTGTCTCTTGTTTGTGTTCATGCTAAGATGTTTGTGTTCATACTTCTTAGCTCAGGAATGAGGACAACATATGTTTCATTAGTGGGTACATTCAAAGTACTATTCCCAAAAATAAAAAGGGTCCTGGAAACATTTCCATGAAATCAGCTTTGAAGATGTTCCAACTCTTTTCTAAAGAACTCTACGGTGGAGCCTTAAGAATGGGGCACTTCGTTGGAGCCCAAATTATCAATCACCCAACCCATTTGATTTCCTCGACCTTGAGAGGCCTACAAGGGAGTCAATGACCACCAAGCTATTGGCTAATAAATTTTCGTAAAACATTCTTTGGCGATCGCAAGTGATAGAGCCGGTGGAAATAGGTCGTATTCTCATCCCCTTCTATGTTCCATTTGAGCTTACATTTATGCACCCGAAGATGATATTATCTGACAATAAGAGTCTTGGCGGGTAATGATAAGAGCTAGAGCTTTTCTATCTTCCTTATCAGTGGAAGAGAGAGTGAGGCTTTCTCTTTATTGTCCAGCCTTCCGATGTTTGCAAGAAGTCTAGCCTTACCAGACCTGATGATACCAAAGAGACAACCAAAGTTGCCTCTGTTCTAGACCTATATTTATTTCCTTTCAATGCTTGAGATTTCTTATGAGTACCCATGTCTGACTTTTAAGGGAATGCTCTTCCACCGGTCCTCACAAATCTTCACAAAATTAGGATGCTCAAGCCAAAAATTCTCATATCTGAAGGGAGTAGGGCCCCAGCCAGTGCTCAGATTAATCTGGTGAGAATTTTAGCATGTCGGCTGGGGCTTTTGAATTTATCGGACCACTCTTCAATACAGAGCTATCTAATTTGAGAAGACAGGATTCTCTCTCTTATTATACCACATAAAGCAGGCATTAATGTGATGAATGTAAATAAGCTCAACTTCACCAATGAATCGGTTAAATTTCCCCCTTCACCAAGATGATGTAAGCATGTTTCTAGTTATTTCTGAAAATTAAGGATATAATAGAGAAAATATCATATTCACTTCCTTATAAGTTATAACATATACATATTGATATTAAAATGAAATATCTACAAAAATAATTAGATATTTATTAAATTGAATAATGCGACATGAAAAATACGAAGTGGAAGGTGGAGAAATATATAGTAGTTTACCTTGAACCGACACCTCCAATTCCAATAATAGCAACAGAATCCCCTGGCTGCACTTCAGCTGCATGGGCCATGGCACCATAGGCTGTAAAAACTGCGCATCCTAAAATAGCCGACTCTGTGTATGGCAATGACTTTGGTAAAATTGACACTCCATTCGCTGGAGTAACACAATATTCAGCAAGGCCTCCCATGCTATACATGTATATTGGTTTTCCTACACAAATTACACTCCTCTTCAATCCAAACTGTGGCATTCAATTATAGGCAAATATCTCCGCCAACCAAAAAAAGAAATGCAGAGATTATAATGAAATTGAAATAACCATCAAAGTCACAAGAAACATATATAAATTGCTCACACAGGAGAGAACTGAGAAGAAATGTGAGATATACATAAGAAAAAAAAAATTAAGAATAAGAGAGAGAGCAATACAAACTAAAAACAAAAAAGATGTTGGTTCCTTATTAGTCAACTTCAGTTCCATTCTTTACAAGAATATGTGATATGCTACAAGCAAGGCACATCATACCCCAAGGGCCAACCGATGAAGAAGGGAATCTCCACTTCAACATTGGAGTACCAAGCTTCATGAGGAAGGAGAACAAGTGGAGAAAGGAGCTTCAAGGGAACATGAAGGYACCAAACACGAGAGCCCCAATTTAGGGGTTATTTAGGATTTTGAGTGTTAAAGTAGTGTTTTTATGTAAATTCTATTTGTAACCTTATTTTGGACTTTATGTATAATTTATTTAATAGGTCTTAAGCCCAAAAATGAGGTTATATGCATTTTAGAGGCTCATTTAGAGAAATCCCTAAATTTGTGTAACTTAGAACACTATTTACTTTAGATTTTAGTTTAGGGTTTAATTACGATTTTCTCATTCAAGGTCATTTAAAGCCAACACTTGTACATTTGAGGGGTTGGAAAATAGATGAATGGAAAAGAGCTTTGAGCCTGTCTTGTGCATTTTCTTGCGTTGGATCTTGCACACCCTAGAATCTTCAAGCTTGATGGGTCATCAAACTTACAGAGGGTTTCGATTTTGGATTGAGAACAAGTTATCTCTATCCAAAGTCTTGACCTTCAAGGTTATTCCATGTGTGTGTATTAGGTGTTGTCGTGTGTGTTTAGGAGGTACTTGTTTTTACAAGGATTGACTAAGTCAATTGTGGTAAGGTTGAGTACATCATTAGGTATTAGAGCTTCCTCGATGCTTTTGATTTCGTATCATTTGGTATCACAGCTTCCTCGGTGCCTTTGATTTCACATCATTTGGTATAAGAGCTTCTTCAGTGCCTTTGATTTTACATCATTTGGTATCAAAGCCTCTTCGGTGTCTTTGATTTCACATCATTTGGTATCAGAGTTTCCTCGGTGCCTTTAATTTCACATCAATATGATTTTTCTGGATAAAATCCCAATACTCTTAAATCAAGACTTGGCTTCTATATATAGTTGCCAAAACAATATTCTACCCAATTATGCTACAAGAAGTTATTTGATTTGTAATCCTAGAGAAAAAATGCATGATCACCCTGAATTATAGTTGTTACATCAATGCACTTTTTCTTTTGTTTTTAAAGAAAACAACGCATTTCATTAAATTTATGAAGAGCTACTATTGATCCAAGGATTGGACGAGGATCCACGTCCATTGCCAATTCAACTTGCTTCCTTCCTTCTTGATCAGAATCATGTACCACAGAACAACCTGGCACAAGTGTGGTGCTTACCCAACAGACTTTGATGCCTAAGTCAGTATTAGCATCGAGGTATGTGAGTAAGGGAGATTGTTTACCTCCCATTGAGGGACTTTACTAATTATACGGGAGACAGTAATTATGACCCTATAACCATGATTACCCTATTTCGCCCCCTCACATGGCTTCCTAATTTCCGGCATGTCATCCATGCTTCTCGAGTAAGCAATGTGATAGGTGACCCATGTTGTTGTCAAACTTTTTCTATGAAGATCAAGCTAGGCTCTTTAAGGGATCAAGCTAAGTTGGCCTTCACCTTGGTCAACTTGGTATAACATCTCCTTCAAATTAGTGGTCCCTCCGCCAGTGTGGCACTAACCTCAAAGTCATTCTTATGCCTCCCACTTAATGTGTCCACCACGTATCAATCGTAGATCTGTCCTCCAACAGCAACCTCACTCCCAAGTTGGGCATGTGTGACTCCGACCATCATTGGGGTCCTTCATAAGTTAGGTCAAAACACGAAGGCCTAGCTTCGAGAGTATTCCATAATTTCTTGAGTCTTGACATCTTTCTTTAATGGGGATCGTGCATCGCAGCTGCTGTAGCGCTTCCCCTTCCCGAGGGTTCCTTCATGAGGCATCGCGTGGCTGCATTGTTATGGGTTGTCTTATCAAACCTACGCGATGCTTTGGTGCATAGCTGACTGATGTCAAGCGTCGCATCAATTGAGCTTCCATTTGAGTCGTCCATGTGGCTTGTTTTCAATGGCGTGGACTGCTCGGGCGCTTCTGCCTTTCACTTTCACTTGTCACCACTCACCTTTTGGCTTTCATCTTAGGCATTTGGGATGAGTCTATCTCTAGCCTAAAGATTAGTAAGAGGCAAAAGTTCGATCATGGGTATAAATTGCAATCCTTTGAAGTTGACCTCTTGGGCTTCTATGGTAGGCTTCCTTCCTATTACCTTGGGCTCCCTTTGGGTAGTAATCCGAAGAAGGTAATGTTTTGGAATCCTGTCCTAGAAACGATCCAAAACTTCTTTCCTCTCTTCTTGGAAAGGGCTTTCTTTCTAAAGGGAGTAGATTAACTCTCATCTAGTCATTTCTAGGTGGAATGTCTACCTGTTTCCTTTCCTTGTTTAGAATCTCTATCTCAATGATTAAAAGTTAGAGAAAATCATGAGGGATTTCTTGTGTGAGAGAGTTGAGGAGGGGGGAGGTTCTCATTTGGTTAGTTGGGAGGACGTCTCATGCCCCTTGGCCAAGGGGCCTCGATATTGATGACCTAAGATTGCATAATGAGGCCCTGTTGGCTAAATGGTTGCGGCGCTTCTTTACGGAACAGAACAGTTTATGGCCTAGGATCATTGTGAGTAAATACGATTCATAACCATTTGAATGGGAGTCGATTTGTGGGTCTAAGGGATGTTCTAAAAACCCCAATAATGCTAACATTTTGGGTTACTCTTTGTCCTCTCAATTCGTGAATTGCACTATTGGGGAAAGCTCATAAACTTATTTTTTTTTTTAGGATTTTTAAAATAGGAGACAAGCCCCTTTGTGCTATGTTTCCTTGTTTATACCATCTTTCTGATAAGAAGTTGCATTCGATGGCCTCTATCTTCATGCCTTCCTCAGCTCTTCTTTCTCCCTTCCTTTGGGTTTTGTCATCCTTTGTCAGATAGAGAGATGGTGGAATTGGTAGCCCTTTTATCGATTTTGAGTAACGTTAAAGTGATTCCAGGGAGAAGTGTCTGCTTTTGGTCCCCCAATCCTTCGGAGAGGACTCTCTTGCAATTCTTTCTTTCAAATCTTATGTGTCCCTTCGTCTCCATTTGAGGCCCCTTTCCACTCTTTGTAAGGGAAAGGTCCCCAAGAAGGTCAAATTCTATACATCAGGTCCTTGACTAGCTCAATGGACTCGCTTTGTTGAAATTTTTTTAGATCTACAATACGCATAATAAAGATTGTTGTACTATTAAGGAGGGGGTTATCATGAATACTCCTTTTCGGGATAAGGGCACAGTCCTCTAGCAAGCTTGTCTAGTTGCTGATTTGTGAAATATTTGTCTTGAGAGGAATAGTAGAGTTTTTAGATGAGTTGAGAGATCTAGGGAAGAGGTGTGGAATATTGCTACGTTTAACACCTCTTGTGGGCTTTAATTATTAAACCGTTTTGTAATTATCAGTTAAGTGTTATTCTTTTAGATTGGACTCCATTTATGAATAGGTAGTTTTGGGACTCCTTTTTGAGGAGTGGTTCCCTTGATTTTTCTTTCATGTTTCTCAAGATTGGTTTTTCATTAAATAAATAAATAATAATAATAATAATAATAAAAACAATTTTTTTATTATAGTTTTCTTCTAGGCTTCATTACATCCGTGGAAGTCAATTTCACATTCAGAATACTTTCTTAGAACCAACTCAGACTTCCCATAAGAACTACAAGTCTGCATATGGTTCCCTATCTAACATTCTAGGAATCATGACAATTCACCTATCTGATCTTATTCTTGATTCTTTTGCGCTCTAGATAGAACGTTTATGACAAAACAGTCAGGATAATTGGGATTTTGAATGGTAGGGATAAAATTAATCCCTTTCTATACAAATGACCCAAACAAATATAACAAAAAACCATAGATGTTAAACTAATTTCATAAAAATTACCCAAAAAATTAACAACAAACCATAGATGTTAAAACTTCAACAATTCATTAAATATTTATTACTTTTTTTTATTTGAAGCATGGGAGACTTTCAAATTCATTAAATATTGCCCCCACAAAGACTTTAGAGCTTCCATTTTCCAAAGGCACCATAAAAGTTGCAGTTCAAACGACATTAATAAAAACATAATTTGAGATAGGTTAAATAATAATAACATATATTACCGTCCCTGCGAAGGAACAACCGAGTTTCACCATCATAAAGTGTTCCTTTTGCCCGGTTATAAGCAAAGAAATCTTCACATAAATCATCATGGCCCTTTCTCCAATTCAGTAATCAAATTGATCAAATTAGTTCTCCACATGTTTATCAAGGACATTGTCAGTAGGCATTTCAACAATCAAGATCAGGATTGAAGGATTATAATAGACGGACGAGAAGCACAAGCATGACAAAGGTACTAACCTTTGAACAGTAAGAACAGTTTCCACAAGGCATGATGAAAGATCCTACAACATGAGCTCCAATTGGAAGTCTGAAGAAGAAAGAAAATTTAAGTGATAAACCTGTAACTCCATTTTTAGTCAACCATCCTTGCACATATAAGTTTGTTCATTATTTCCCTTCATTTATTGCATATAAACAACAGCTTAACATATCTAAAATTATATGCAATGAACAAGAGCTTGCAATATTTCATTTCATCCATGCAAAATTGCATTTAAGTAACAATTATGTTAAAAATAAATAAGATAATAAAACCTTTCAATTGTTTTCCTGTCCGTGAGAGGTCCGTGTTCAACAACCTCACCAGTGATCTCATGCCCAACTACACAAGGGCTAGGGAATGGAATCTCCCCTTTCATAACGTGCAGATCAGAATGGCAAACTCCACAAGCTGCATTTGAAAAATTTAATGCTTTTTAAACTAAAGAATAACCAATCCCGTAATCAGATGCGGTTAAAAAAACAGGAATCGATCATCATAAAGAAAAGTGACAACCAAAACAGTGCAATTGCGGACACAGATAAGCACAAGCAAGCCCACATAACCGAAATCTATAACATAAATGATGAAGAACTGCTTCACGACTCAGAATTTCTAATTCATGCAGAATCACAATCACAAAGAGAGACAAG